ATAACACAGTTGAGATGGAAAGACTCGAGAAAAATCTAGCAACCGAATTTGAAGTAAAAGACTTGGAACAAATGAGACACTTCTTAGGAATGAAGGCAGAAAGATCAAAAAAAGGATATTAGCATGTCACAAGGAAAATATATCCATGACCTCTTTATTGAAATAGGTATGCTTGGTTGTAGGTCATGCGACACACCTATTGATACAAGGAGGATAACAGAAGATGGCTGAACTCCATTTGAGAAAGATAGATACCAAAGACTAGTCGAAAAATTGATATACCTAACTCATATTAGACTAGACATTGCTTTTGCTGTAAGAGTGGTAAGTCATCGTATGCACTCACCAAAGGAGACTTATATGGAAACGGTATACAGAATTCTCAGATATTTCAAAGGCTCATCTAGAAAAGAGTTATGTTTCAAGAAGAGTGAGGACACGAAAATTGAAATATTCATAGATGAGGATTGGTAGGTTCCACAAATGATAAGAGATCAACTACTGGTTACTGCACTTTCATATGTGGAAACTTGGTAACTTTGAGAAGTAAAAAACAAAACGTAGTGACAAGAAGCAGTGCAGAAGCGAAATTTAGAGCAGTTGTCCAATGAATATGTGAAGGACTATGGCTAAAGAAACTCTTTGAAGAACTACAAGTCACGATAAAACTTCCAATCAAGATCTACTATAATAACAAAGTAGCCATCAACATTTCTTTTAATCTAGCTCAACATGATTGAACTAAACACATTGAAGTAGTTAGACACTTCATCAAAGAAAATGTTGAAGATGAGGTTATTTGCATGACATATGTTCCTACAAAAGAATAAATTATAGACATATTTATCAAAGGATTACCTTGACAAAGTTTTGAAGACTTCATTTGCAAGTTGGATATAGTTAATGTTTACCTTTCAACTTAAGGGGGAGTGTAGAAATCTTATATATTGCATTTTAATTTATTCTTGTACCATATTTAGACTTTCCCATATTTAGTATTTTTCCATAATTCAATAGACTATAATTTGTTAAATTCCACCCCTCCTTATTTAGGAGATTTCTTTCCTTTTTCTCTTACCCTACTTGTACTATAAATTGAGAGGTTGTATACATTTGAAAAATATACAAGAAAAACAAGAATTATTCTTGTGTTCACTATCCAAGTGAACCAAGTCTGGGTTGATCAAGACAAAGTTGTTCCCATCTCCATAGTAGTAGAATATCATTTTTAGATTGTTGGAAAAACGAAGAGTAGAAAGAGATGGAAACACAAACCAAATATGAAGAATATATGAGACCTGAAACAGGTATACGCTATGCTTTTCTAAAAATAATATTTGCCTCCACTTGTATTACTTTTGAATTTAAGACAAATAGTTTAGAGGATATGACAAGCTTTTAAGGAAGAAATACTAAAACACAAGTGATTTTTCTAAAAGAACTTAATGAAAATTTTAAGGAATTGAATTTGATACTTGATGAATTGGAATAACTTATATGATTTTCTATATTGTTTAGAGATGAAAACCTATCACCTTGTTATGGATTTCCATCCAAGTACCATGAACAAGTCCTAACAATTCATGAAAATTTGAAAACTTTTCATAAATCAACACCAAATTTGAAATGGTAATAATAATTTCACCAACCATGCGCATGGTTCATCGATTTGGCCTCAAGTTGGCCAGAACCAGGCCTTGTGCACGCATGGTCATTAAGCCTGTGTATGTGCATGGGCTAACTTTCCTCTCTAATAATAAAAAGATCAATTTTTATAATCACTACCGAACAGGTACTTAGTAAATATTTTCTATTGGTCATTCAATCTCATTTCATTTGAAACTATTTTGATAGTGTGTTTTAAAGTTGTTAAGAAATGAGGCCATTAAGAATTTTTATCCGTCCTCAATTACAAAGCCACAAGTCCCTGTTTGGCATAACTAAAAATTAAATTTTTAATAAATTTTGATAAAAGTTAATGAAATATATTATTAAATAGTTAATAAAATTTATGAATTTCATTAATATATAATTAAAATTAATTGTTAATTTTAACTTAATTTTTTTTATCTAATTTTTAAGTTACATCATATAGTGACTAAGGGCCTGTTTGTGTCCCTTTAATTTCGAAATGTGTATTATGGAATAGTGATTGATATTGAAATATGTGATTAAAAAAGAAGAATTTTTTTATTTATATATAATATTATTTTAATAAAAAATGTGTGATTGAAAATTAATACTGTAAAAAAAATAATGTGATAGAATATAATAAAATGATTGACAAACAAAGGCTAAATAGTGCTTTCCTTCCAACATGGTGGTGGTGAGATTTGTTTGAATTCACTAGCTTCTATGAATTTTACAGAACTCAAGACATGATAGTCCAATCAAGTCTACGCTCCTTTAATTTTCTTACTCATGCCTCCATTAAGTGGAAATTAAAAAAAGATTTTTCTTTAATTTTCTTACTCAGTCTACACTCCTTTAAATTTAGATTTTTAATAAATTTTAATAAAAATGGATGAAATTTATGGTTGAAAAGTAATGATATTTATAAAATCTGTGGTTAAAATTTAATTATTGATTTGACTTAAACTAAAAATTCTTACAAAATAGGGTCTCGTTTAATTCTTAGTTTGCAGCAATCATTTTTTACTGTAGGCACGTTTCTTTTTTTGTAAAATACTACAAATATATTCCACCGACGGAACCATCCAATATATTCCATGCAAATCACATTCAGTGGACCCATCATTCAAGAATCATGAGAGCTTCATTTTCATATTATTTTTCGATTATCTTATCAATCAAATAATAAATTGTCATATATACGTCACGTAAGGTAACTGTCGATAATTTTTGCTATGAATAATATTATTCTTATAATAGTATTTTGATAGAGTACGTGTAATTAAAAAATAAAAAAAGTGAATTTGCAAGAAATATTTTATTGAAAAAATGTGTGGTTGACAATAAAAGAAAGAAAAATGTATTTTAATAATAATGAGGACCAAATTAGGGTTTAATTGGAAATTGGACTTTAAACTCTTTGCCGATACTTTTGATAAGAGAAAAATTATATCTTTAACTAATTTATGTTCTAATTTTTATTAGTTTACGTCAAGTCATTTAAAACATCAATACAAGTCCGTGACAATATTTATTAATTATTTTATCCATTTTTATTCAATTTAACAAAAACCAAACGTAGAATGAATGAGTTAGACAAAAGAAATTATTTAATCAAATTTCAAATCAATCATCAATAAGAACTCTTTTGTTTTACCTCCTGCTTAGTACGACACATAAAAAAATTGAAAAAAAAAAATAAAATTCGATATTTACGTGTTTAAATGATAGCGGAGGTAGTTGTCAATTTTTTAATCAATCAAAATGCATAATTATTCATTCTCACGTACCTACAATTGTAATAGTGAAGTCTCTAGGCACATCTCCAAGTGGTAAAAAGGGGAGGGTAAAAAAATCCAGCTTGCTTGAGGCTGCTGCGTCAAGGGTTCGAATCCTGAAATATGGATTTGGCTCTTGGATAAGTGCAAGTGTATAAGCAGCCTTCCACCCTATACTCTTGGAGACATAACCCGCGACTTACCTTTCTCACGATGCTCCAGAATAGAAGCGTTGGGGGACCCTCATGGTTGGGGCTCAACCTTTTTTTGTAATAGTGAAACAATAACTCTATGACAAGATTCTACTCAGGAGTCAGGAGAAGGAAAAAAAATAAAACAAAAAAATAAAAATAAATAAATAAACAAAACAAGTGTAATGCTGGGTATTTCTAATATTCATTTTAGTTTAAATTTTAAAGTTGTTAAAATGTACGAAGTACATACAATTCAATCCATGCTACTAGTAGGATCGACCATATGCGAAAGCAAATATATGCTGTGCTCAGCCTCTCGAGGCAAAGTTCAGTGGTGCAAAGGATAGAAGTGAGATTATCTCACGTTTTGTTGGCAGTCGCAGTGTGGGGATTCAATTCATGAGATATAGAATTTGACTTCTTGTAGACGTAGTGTACATTCAGTTCTTGCTTCCTGACCTGTTGAGGCACATCACACAATTTACCTCCCTCATAAAGCTCTAGGGACAGGATGTTGGGGACCCTCAAAATTAGGTTTCAACATTTTTTAAATATATGCTGTGCTCAACTGTCAAAGCTTGTAACAAGTCGACATATGAAACTATATAAAAGATCACAAGTCTACCCTGACATAATATGTGATCGTGCCAGATTCGAAATTTGTTTGCGCGGTACATTTACAAAATGGAAAATGTCATTTGTACAACTTTTGTATATATTATTGTTGACATTATCCGACTTGTCAACAAATGATTGGACCAAAAAAAAAAGTGATGTTTTAAAATCATCTAATAATGTGTTGTCACGTGACAAAATGTAAAACTTAGTATACATCATGATATACTCCAAGTATGATTGTTACAAAATTGACTTGTGTGGACCTTGCCACTTCAAAATCAAGTCGAGCTGGTTAGTACCTCTATATTAGGTGTTTGTTTGGTAGGAATTTTGATAATTATTTTTTGACAATTAGAGATAAAGTAGGTTTTATTTGTGAAAGAAGAATTCAAAAATAAAGGTTGAAATAGTCAAATAAAGGTTAAAAAATTGATTTTAATTGACTTTTAAATTGTACTAAACAAGTTCTAGAAGACTTGTTTGAAAAAGCAATAGTAGAAAAAATAGTAAAGAAAATAAATTTTATCTATGGCGATGCCGCATGTGAATTTCTTCTCAAAAGTATAAAGCAGTTGTGTTTCTTTTTACGATCTTCTTTTCCAGTTATTCTCCTCGTTAACGTAGATAAATGACTGTTTCTTACCTCAGAAGTCGTTGTTTAATTCCTTATTATGTCCTCACTTCAAAGCTCTATACGGAACTGCACTGTAAAGAGTCTCTACGCACAAAAAAATAAAGAAAGTGATGTGTGTTGGGTAGAGACAGAGAGACAGAGAGAATGGGATTCACATCAAAAGCCAAGAACAGTGAAGGCTGGGGAATGGGGTTCCTCTTGATTTTCTTTCCTGAAGAAGATCATCCAGACACAAGTAAGAAGAAGAACAATAATCTCTTCTCTTCATCTTCACCTTCTTTCAAGCCCCTGAACAGCCTACTCAAACGTACAAATTCAGCTCATCTACTACACAAAGCACAGACCACAATTTCTATATGTGCACTTCTGTTATTCATCACCATACTTCTCTTCACTATCTCCACCTTGCCCTCCACCACCACTGCCGCCACAAGAGCCCGCCACAATTACGGTTTTCCTGGAAGACAGCTCTCTTTAATGATGAAAAATCCCTCTTCAGCTTCGGGTTTATTGTCAAGAAATCAATTGTCGCATGCATTGCAAGGAATGGGTACTCTGTATAGGAGAGGTACAAGGGCAATGAGTGACCTCATTGTAGCACACGCTGTTGAGTCTCTCACTTCGCATGAATTGAAATTGTTTCTAAGGCTCTTGTACAGGTCTAGTCTCACCTCAAGATCAGACCTTGTATTCATATTTCCATCAAAATCGCCTGATTTTGATAATACAATTCTTCAAGAGAACGACTCGTTCTTGAAACTCGTTATTCAGTATGCGAAAATGAACCGCTCAACTCATTCGGCGGCGAGTTTTGAAGTGACCCAGTTCGTGAAAATGAGCAAGAAGGAGGGGGAAAGCGGAGAACCAATCTGGGGTCGAAGAATCCGAAGCAATTTTAGTGAGGAAGGAAAGACTGAGTCAACTCCTTTGAGTTATGGGTCAGTAGTGAGTTTTGACATGGAAGAGCTTGACCAGGAGAACTCATTGGCTGGGTTATTAGAACACGTTCCAATGAATTTGAGGAGATGGGCTTGCTATCCTATGCTGCTGGGTCGAGTTAGAAGAAATTTCAAGCATATTTTGTTAGTGGATGTAAAGGAAATATTAATAGTCGGTGATCCACTCGGCCGAGTCAGGAATCAGAGTCCCGAGACGGTTCATTTAACCTCAACCATCCATTCCCTTCCCACCAAACACGGGAAGAAGAAGCCGGATAAAACCCAGTCAACCCGGCAGAAATCAGTGAACCCGGCAATTGTAATGGGCGGTGCAAGAGGGGTTAGAAGATTATCAAATGCTATGTTAACAGAAATTGCAAGAGCAGCAATGCAGCACAAGAAGAACAACTCGGTGACTGAGTCAGGACTCTTCAATCAACTCGTAGGAAATGAGTTCATATTAAAGGACGTGAAAGTTATGACATCGGCCGAGCCAATCCCCGAACTGAGTTCACTCGGCGGGTCAAACTCGAAGTCAGGTTCTTCGTTGGCCATTACAAATTATACCTTGATTAGAGCTGGCAATAGTAATTTGGCCGTTTATGCTATATTAATGAAGCACATATGCTCGTCGCCAATAAATTCCACAGTTTATAGTGATTGTTAATAGTCAAATAATAATTTTGGTTAGAAAATATTTAAATTTAATTTCGTTTTATATTCTGTTAATAGCACTGTTACTAATAAATTTTTTTGATTATTTGGTGTTGATTTGTTTGCCCGCCTAATTTAGCTCTTTGGTTTTGTTAGCTTATTTAAGGTTTGTCTTAACCCTTCATTGATAAGATAAGTTTTGTAATAGTGATTTTTAGAGATTGTGTTATTTAAAGAATTGAACAGATATTTGGGTTTACGCGGAAAATTGTTCTATTGAAAAAATATTTAATTAAAATTAAATTTTACAAAAAAAAATTATAAAATGGGGCTCTAACAGTGACTTAGTGATTGTGTATACTTGCCTAATGTAAGAAATAAAGAAAAAAATTTCCTAAGTTCATTCTCACAGTGACTTAGTGATTGTGTATACTTGCCTAATGTAAGAAATAAAGAAAAAAATTTCCTAAGTTCATTCTCCATGACAATATATATCGAAATATTAGAAAACTTTTATTAAAAGTGAGTGCTCTTGACTCGATGAATATTGCTTATAAAACACTATCAATAATCAATTTTAGAGACAGAACATTCTTTTCATACCGTTACAGATATGAAAAAAGTGATTTTCCTATTGTTGAATGTGCTTATTCGCATGAATCGAACATATGGAAATTAAACTTAAATCTGCATAAATTGCAAGTTGTTCCTTTCTTAAGGAGTTGAAACAAGGTGTTATTTTGCTTGTCTCAATAGTTTTAACACTTGAAATATACCTAATAAAACTGTTGTGGTTCCACCCAAGGATGTAATTCTTGGTTTTATTACCAAGAATTGATATTTTGTCAAATTGTGCGTGGAGATAGACTGATGGAAGCTCTAGGGCTGTGGTAGGTTGTCCCCCAAGGTCTGGAAAAAATTTCATTGTCACTCTCAGATTTTTTAAAATATAATTTATAAAAGAAAAAAATGCAGCAATGGTCCCTAGCATTTCACTTTTTCGCAGACTTTATCTTAATTTTCACTTTGTGTCACTCACGATCTCAAACCTTTCGAAAATACGCACTTGGAGTTCAAAAGTCAAAATTTGATCAATTTTGACCAAATTAAAAATGATAAAATGCAGATTAATTAGAAAATTAAATTTAAAAAAACAAAAATTAAAAATAATTTTATAAACCTATAGCCTCACAAGAGACCACGAAGCCAATCTCTTCTTTTTTGACGATATCCCATAAATGTCGGCGTTGACACCTAAAATCGACCTGAACAATCATCTCAACAATTTCCAATTCACACCCCCATTTTCATTCGATTCAAGTGACTGTAAACCGCTGCCACCTTTGACCTACACTGCCACCACTACCACTACCACCATATGTCCTCTTACCACCCACCACCAATAAAAGCACCCTGTCACGACTCGTTCGATTTTGGCACAAGAAGATCGAGAAATTTAAAATGTTGACGACTTGAGGCTAACCGGAATATTCTAGACTCCCACAAGTGCATGAAGATTGCTAGAATATGGTGGGACATTCTAGAAGCCTACAAGCTCCTCACTTGGTGGATTATTCTAGATCATCCTAGTTTAGTCCATAAATATTTTAATGTAAATATTTGTATAGATAATTCTAGATGTGTAATCTAGACCATTGGATAGAAAAGATCCTAACCATCCATTTGAAGAGGCTACTACTATAAATAGTTTGGTAGGATTCATTTGAAGGCATTAAGAGAGTGAAGTTGTAAAGAGTATCCTTATTCAATACAAAGCCTTCTTTATAAGTTCTTGTGTTCCTTCATTGTCCCTTTCTTAAAGTGTTCTACTTAATGCCTTTCTAAGACATCAACGCCAATCGGGAGGCTGACTTAGTGTAATAACCGCGGGGGCGGAAGTTGAAGACACTAAGGCCGCACGGTTCTTGAAGGAAATTAGCAAGTCCGTGACAGTTGGTATCAGAGCCTAGGTTTGCTCACTTACTACCGTTGGCATGGCGAAAAAAGATGTTGTGGGATCCGGCATTTCGGAAGTAGAACATGACGAGCGGGGTCGAGAGGTCGAACCCCAAACCACGAGTAAGAAAACTCGACAAACTCGAAGCAAGAGCCGACCACCAGCCCATACCGATGGATCTCTTCAGGAAGTATTTCTCAATATGGGGGAACGCATTGAAGTAGTGGAGAATTCACTCTCAACCCTTGAAGCTCACACCTTGGAACAACTTGATGATCTCAAGGAAGACCAAGGCGCTTTAAGGGAAGAATATACGAGGTTGAAGGGTAAGGTCATGGATGCTATCAAAGCGATCCAAGACCAAGTGAACAAGCTTTACGCGGATATGCAAAGTGGCCTAGACACTTGTAAGAAGGTGTCAACTAGTGCGGGTACTAGCACGATTCTAGCGGCTCCAAGGATCGACTATCCAAAGCCTAGGGAGTTCGATGGAAAGCGAGATGCAAAAGAGCTAGATGATTTCCTATGGCGATTGGAAATATATTTTGAGGGCGTGAACATTTTGGATGAAGCTATTAAGGTACGTACTTCGACTATGTATCGTATGGACACCGCGGCTCTATGGTGGCGACGTAAGCACGCCGACATAGAAAAGGGTGCTTGTAGGATAGATAGTTGGGATGATTTCAAGAAGGAATTGAAATGCCAATTTTATCCCGAAAATGTAGTATATGAGGCCCGTAAAAAGCTTAGGGAGTTGAAACATAAGGGCACTATTCGCGATTATGTCAAAGAGTTTACTACCCTTGTGCTTCAAATCCCGAGCATGTCAGATGAAGATCTATTGTTTCACTTTACCGACGGATTGCAAAATTGGGCGAAGCAAGAACTTTAACGTCGGGGAGTGAAGACAGTAGACGAGGCTATTGTGGTAGCTGAATCTTTAACCGAGTTCCAAAGGAGCACGGATTCATCAAAATCTTCTAAAAGCTTTAAGAGTAACTCGGCTAAAGGCGGGGGAGAGAAGAAAGATTACCATAAGTCATCATTCTTCAAAGGTGGTAACACTTACAAACCTTCCCTCTCGCGAAAAAATTATGAGGGAAAGAAGAAGGCCTCGACGGGTTCTCAAAGTGGATGCTTCGTGTGCAAGGGGCCACATTTAATGCGTGATTGCCCTAAACTTGGCACATTGACGGCTATGGCGGCGGAACGGGATTCATCCTCTTACCAAGATCAAAGGGCAGAACATTTTAGTTCATTGCAACTTCTTAACGCTCTCAATGATAAGGTCGTTCCGACTTCCAATAATGAACGAGGATTAATGTATGTGGAAGCTCAAGTAAATAGTCGGCCCACACTAGCAATGGTGGATACGGAGCTACCAACAACTTCATTACTGAAGATGAGGCTAGAAGGTTGGGCCTCACAATCACTAAAGGTGGTGGTCTTATGAAAGCTGTGAATTCTCCATCCACGCCCCTTGGTGGCATAGTTCTAGGAGTGGAAATTCAATTAGGCACTTGGGATGGCCAAGTGGATTTTTCGGTGGCTACAATGGATGATTTTCGCTTGGTTCTCGGGTTGGACTTCATGAGGAAGGTCAATGCTATTCCTATGCCTTCCTTTGGCTCGGTTTGCATCTTGGAGAGGGGTTCTTCATGCATGGTTCCTACGGTAGCTAGGACGAAAGCAATAGGGCAGCTTTCGGCCATGCAACTAGCAAAATGGCTAAAGAAAGGAGAGGCGACGTATTTGGCAGCATTAAAAATGAAGGACCAAGTTGAGGAAGTTGTGGGTAACGATAATGTGCCCGAAGTCATTAAGAATGTCCTTGAAGAAAATAAGGACGTGATGCCACCGGAGTTACCCAAGAAATTACCACCTAGGAGGGAGGTGGATTATAAGATTGAGTTGGAACCGGGTGCCGAACCACCATCCATGGCACCCTATCGGATGGCACCGCCGGAGCTGGAAGAACTTCGAAAGCAATTGACGGAGTTGCTTGACACGGGGAGGATACGACCTTCGAAGGCACCTTATGGCGCTCCGATCTTGTTCCAAAAGAAGCATGATGGATCGTTACGCATGTGTGTAGATTACCGGGCGCTCAACAAGGTAACAATTAAAAACAAGTATCCTATTCCTTTGATTGCTGATTTATTTGATAGACTTGGTAGTGCAAAATATTACACAAAGGTGGATCTACAAAAGGGATATTACCAAGTACGGATTGCAGAAGGGGATGAGCCTAAGACAGCATGCATCACTCGATATGGCTCATTCGAATGGTTGGTAATGCCTTTTGGCTTAACCAACGCCTCGGCCACATTTTGCACATTGATGAATAGGATTTTCCAACCTTACTTGGACAAGTTCGTGGTGGTATACTTGGATGACATTGTCATCTATAGCGACAACTTGGAGGATCACGCAAAACATCTCCGAACGGTGTTACAAGCATTGCGGGAGAATGAGCTATACATCAAAAAGGAAAAATGTTCCTTTGCCAAGGAGGAGGTGCACTTCCTTGGACATATCATTGGCCACGGGCGCTTGAAGATGGATGAGGCAAAAGTAAAAGCAATCAAGGAGTGGGAAGCACCAACCAAGGTAACTGAACTTCGTTCTTTCCTTGGTCTAGTTAATTATTATCGACGATTCATCCAGGGCTACTCAGCGAGGGCAGCCCCACTAACAGACCTATTGAAGAAGAATAAGACATGGGATTGGTCCGAGAAATGTCAAACGGCCTTTAATGATTTGAAGGCGGCCGTGATGGAGGAACCGGTCTTGGCATTGCCGGATTTCACCAAGACCTTTGAAGTACAAACAGATGCCTCAGACTTTGCTATCGGGAGTGTTCTAATGCAAGAAAGGCATCCTATTGCTTTTGAAAGTCACAAGCTCAACGACACTGAGCGTCGGTATACGGTGCAAGAAAAGGAGATGACGGCTATTGTTCATTGCCTACAAGTGTGGCGTCATTACTTGTTGGGCTCAAAATTCATCATCAAGACGGATAATGTCGCTACTAGTTATTTCCAATCACAAAA